GTATAAGAGAAACTATCCCAGTAGTTAGTAAGAAAACAAAAAGGAGTCCTACTCACAAAAGCACACATCAGTCCCTGTCTGTCTACCAAAAAGGAGGGAGGAGCATGGCATCTGAAGAAGAGCTGGGTGACTTAAATGACAAAGACATTTCTAGGAACATCCATCGATTTCCGTTAGTAGTAACTTCGTGTTTTCCCTAACCTGCATTGAGATCTCTTTCTACCTCTACTGGTCAGTCCATGATGCACGACATTGCAAGGTTGCCTACTTTTCCCAGTTTGTTAATTTGTTAGTTTTACATTTGATTGGCCTTTGTGTAGTAGAGGTTCGTGTTTATAGAACCCACCATTCAAAGCGGTTTCTTTATAGTTCCTGCTTCAGCTTTCTGGTAAGACAAAATTCACCAGCAATAGTATGCATGGAAGTTAGTTTTAAGCAAATAGTAGAGAGCATTCATGGGAAATGAATGTCAAATTTGTAATTATGAGTGGAAATAATGTTCCTGACAGTTACATCCATCCAAGTGGGGAATAGAAATGTACTGTTTAATTTACATGTATGACCCAAAGAGCTGACATTGAAAAGAACTATAGTTATTGCTCTAAAAATACTGAACACTGCTTATGAGCAACCTATAGCCTGAGATGCTGCCTGCTTTCAGTGAAGGGATTTCTTCGTGGCTGGGAATAGTGAACATACTAACACAAAGTGAAATTAATTCGATAAATTGCTTTCCTATGAGATAAGTATCCAGCTCTACTGACTAGAAGCCAGAGAAGTTGCAATTAAATCTCAGATCTCATGGGTAACTAGCAACACATTAGCCAAATCTTGCCCTGTATTCGTGGGACTGTTAGGGATCAAATCAATTGCTCTCATGTATTTTTAACGATGCCTTGGGATGATCAGCCCCTAGTTATACTGGGCTTCAGCAAGGGGGGCAACACTGCAAACCTTAAACAAGACATTGGGAGCCAACAGGACTTGGAATCACTGCTCTCCAGTTCAGACCCAAGCGACGGCAGAACAGCAGTGGAGTTAGAGAGGCACTGCCTGAGCTGAGCTGGGAGCGGTGAAGCTGGCGCATAGAAAACCGGTGGAGGGAGATGGAAGTTTGGCATAGATATACTGTCAGCGTATGAAACTTGCCTTGGGAACATGATGGTGCAACATGGCACCAGGGTGTGACGGCACATCAACGCAATGATCTGCAGCCATGTTACAACAGGGCTAGATGAAATTTTGTGATGGAATGAAGCCAAAATGCCAAGAATGAACTCCCTTGTCCTGCAGGGTAGGGGAAAATGAAGCTATCTGGCAGCTCAGCCACCATTTTGGGCTCAAAGTTTATGTCAGAGAGAAAAAGGAAAAACAAAACCAAATAACCCAATCAATCAAATGTGGCCTGGACCATGCTATATTCTGCTTTTGATGCTAGAAAAGAAATGTCTGCCACAAACAGGGCACGTGCTCTGCTTCCACTGCTCAGTCCCATGAGCCTTTCCCAAGGTAAGGGGACAGCTGTGACAGCCAGATCCAGAACTAGATCCACAGGTTTGTTTTAGGGTATTTGTTCTGCAAGTAATAGATGTGGAGGCATCTCACATACTTCTGTCTCAATAAGAGGAAGTAGTTCAGAACCCCTACAGAGGCCACACCAGTGCCACGGTGGTGTTAATGGGCTTCTGAGGAAATTATGTCCAAGTCCTCCACTTGGTCAGAAAAAGACGTTTTACAAGACAATGAGTAGAATGGAGGGTAATTAATAGAGGAGAATGAGATGGGGCCCAGAGAATCCTTTCACCCATAAAACTGCATGAAAACTAGAGCTTCCAAATAACCTGGAGGAAAAAAGAAAACCAGATGCAAGGTGTCCCAAAGGCAAAAAACAGCAAGTAGAGCAGAATCTACCTGCTGCTTCTCTTCAAACACAGAAGACTTCTGGGATCAGTTGCTTCAAGTCACATGAGAGAATGCATTAGGAGCTTACTAAGAAATGTGCTTTTTTTAAAGTTATTCCAATTTAGACTTACCAGCCAATGTGGCAGAAAGCAAAGGACGTCAGCAAGTCTTATTAATATGCTGATGCTATGGCTTCAGAAGTACACAGAATGCCCATTTGGATGGGGGCTAAGAATGTAGCATGGAGTTGCCATGGAAACGTGGGGAGGCCATTAATTAGCTATCACATGAAATCATCAGGAAGAATCTGGACCTCAGCAGCTTTGCCCTCCTCAGTGGCAAAGTGCACAACCCCAGCGACCCCTCCACAGCTCCAACAACCACCATGTCCTGGAGCAGAAATGTCTTCTTGGAAGCATGAGAAGTGGGTGGACAAGTAAGGGGGAGGGGGTGACAAGGGCAGAAGGCAGGGAAGTAAATAAAGGATGGAGCCAATTTCCCCTCTTATTTCCCCCTTTCCAGGAAGCCTGTTTGCTGTTGCATAAAAGATCACGAGAGATCTGCTGTTTTTTGAGCTGGTGGGACATATGCCAGTGACCTCAGAGAAACAAAGACTGGCCACAAGGCCCTGGTGAACTCAGTTAATGGAGTTAGCATCTTCCTAGGTGAGCTGCACCTGGGATGAGTGAATGCCAATGCTCCCTGGTGCTGTCCTGCTCCTCAGAGTCATCTCTGGCCATGCTAAACCAGGAATCCCTTTCTCCAAAGGGAAACGTGGGCAAGTAAGAGAGGCTTATTGGCCACTTGCCCAGCCTCCATCCAGAGCCAGAATCCACCTCCAGCCCAGGCTGTGTGCGTATGTTCCTGTGACAGCTGTGATGGACTTCAGCTGCCATGTACAGGATGTTCTTTTTAGCCCGCTTGCTAAAACACCACTCAGGAGGACGTTTGGCAGACGGCATCTCCTGCGCCAGCGGGTAGCAAGATCCCAAGCCTGGCTGCTCAGTTCCCAGTGCTGGAGGAGGAATGCTGAGTGGCAACCCGAACTGTGTGCTCCTGTCTCCAGCTAAAGCGTTTTCCATGATGAATCTGCCCTGGTGCTCGTTGAAAAGAAAAAATGGCACAAGGATTATGTGCTGCAGTTTCTTGTCCC